GAGAGCAATTACGACGCTATTGCGTTTTCTACCGGGCGATCTGATAGTACCGGCACTCTTCCTGGCTGATGAATGCTCGCACGATACGCGCCTCGTGGGTTGCAGTCGTGAAAATGTAGATTAATAAATCGGTAGCGCGGCGAACAATATGCCGCGGATTGCATCAACTCGCTATTAAACAACACAGTTGTAATGAGTCGGGTCCTTCGAACCAACGGTCGTTAAATTACCCCAACGACCGTCCGCGTCGACTATCAGTATATAACAACTACCACGACGTGAGATTCTCTGAATCACTGCTTGATATTTCATCGAGAAAGATTCCTGTTGAGAGCATGTTTTTTTACTTTTTTCTCTAAATCTCGGCATTAAATGGTGTTACAAGCTTATTAAATGGTGTTATAAGAAAATAATATAAACTTATAACTCTTCAAAATTTGATATGAAACACTGTTTGTGATCTATATGGAAGCAAAATTAGTGAAATATCTGCATTATTATCTAAGTGACTAATTGATTTGAAAACCGTATATCATAAAACTACGGCTGTATTTAATCAAATAAAAATTCTTTACGACAAATTGAGATATAAATTTCCACGCCGTAAGTTATTTCAAATCACAAGACGATTTTGTGTTATACATTTTGTAATCTATTTAAGATTCTCCTATTCTCCATCGCGATAATCTCTTTTCTAGATGCCCGACTATAACGCGGATGGAGATGACAGAAAGCCGGTGTCGCGCGGGAAGGCATTACAAATCGCCACGCAAACACTCTGGCATACAACGCGAAACAATGTTATCCGCCACGCCATCACGCGCGCGTACACTGCTAGGTGTTCACACGGAACAGAAATTCGCGAAACGCCGCCATTTCTACACAGGGAGTATTTTTCTACCGAGTATTCACTTAGAAACGCCAGTTTGAATGAAATTGAAACAACGCTAGATCATCATTTCTCGCACTTAAGCCTTCGTATTGGCGATAATAGATAATCAATCATTGATGATGATCGAAAAAAATATGAAAAGTTTCATAGCGTCGAATTATAATCGAGACATATTTTACTGTCACGTGCAATCTGCGGTTTTTCTTTTTTCTCCCGACTCTGTCCTTCGTTCTCGTACCGTTCCTTTTACGACGTGCATCGCATCGCGAAAGATTTGTTACTCCTGTTGACCAAGAAGGGAGATATCTCAATATTCGCAGCTTGATACACCCAACACGCATGCGCACATGCTTATATTGCGTACTCGGATGAAGCAGGCGTTCCGCATTCGTATGATACATTGCTAAAGATGTAGATTGTTCCCGGTACCATCCAGCAGCATTGTTCGCAGAAGGACAATGGCTCCAA